TGTGAATTTTCATTGGAAACTAAATAATTGGACAGTTGTGGATTGCATATCGTGATTGTTGGAGTTCAAGAAAAACAAAGGAATTTGCAGAATTCAACAAAGTTATAATTTATATCACAGTTTCTATATAAATACAAAGCAGATCCTTGATGGGGAAATGAAATTTTGTTTAAATTCCGCAGTGCATGATTAAATAAATTCTCAACAATGGTACAAAGCATTCTTTGTGTTTGTTAGAAATTGTTTTAGATCTCTGGAAACAAACATTGGTTAATTGTTTATTTTTCATGTTTATAGCTTTTAAAGAAAATTACTTTCATCTTCTAAAATCTATTTTAAATAGAAAATAAGTGTTGGGTAAAAAGTCAGATTGGAAAGGTTACAAGCGAGGTGGCGATAGCCGCCATCAGTCGTGGTGGCAGCATGCATTATAGCAACAATACTTGGGCATGGTGCAGCGAACGCTGCTGCATTTTGTTGTAGCATCAGCTGCAAAATCGCAATAGCACTGATAGCTACACTGCTAGTACTCGACGATATCGTTACAACAGTCACGATGCTGTGGCAATCGTTGAGGTGTGCCATAGGCGCATAAAAAATAGACAGATGCAGTGTCAGATGCCGTAAGAAAAAGAAATTTAGGGTTTTAGTCAGACTGAGTGTTTTAGGGGTGGGGGCCTATCACGCAACTTATGCAATTGTGGGGCCCCGTCTGCGATTAAGTAGTAAGGGTCATTTTTCAATTTTTAAATGGAGGACCTATTCTGCAATTTTCAAAGTTGAAAGTGTTTGCTTATAAATTTGAAAGGGGTCAGAATGCAATATTTTTCAAGTGGATTTTGAATGCAATTTTAATAAGTATTTTTTAAAATTGATTTGAAAAGGTTTGACCTATATTGTCAATTTTAATGAGAAATTAATTTTGACCCGTTCAAAATTTTATTTAAAATTGACGACTTTTCATATTTTTGTTAAAATTGAATTTTAACTTAAATATTAAATTTTGACTCTAAACATAATTTTATTTATTTAGGAGCTTTATCCTGAATTAAAATGTTAATCCAATTTAAATTAGAGTTGGATTCTAATTTGATATTTAATTAAAATTTGATTTTAATTAAATTATCCACCCTCCCTAATTTGACATTTAATCATAATTAGATTTTAATTAAATTATTTTGCCCTAAAATTTTTCTTGAAATTAGAGTTGGACTCTAATTTGATATTTAATTAAAATTAAATTTTAATTAAATAAGTTCGCCCTAAATCTTGGAATTAGAGTTGGACTCTAATTTTGTTATTTAATTAAAATTTAATTTTAATTAAATTCAACCACCTTAAGTTTTGAAATTAGAGTTGGACTCTAATTTGTTATTTAATTAAAATTTGATTTTAATGAAATAATTCCGCCCTATAATTGTGGAATTAAAGTTAGAATCTAATTTGGTATTTAATTAAAATTTGATTTTAATTAAATAAATCCGCTAATTAGATTAATTGATTAATTTGATTAATTAGTATTCATTTGTTCCGATCCATTTGTCTAAATTAGTTTAGATGACCTTAGAAACTTAAAATATTTATGCATATAATTATAGCAATGCATTTACATGATGAAAGTTTTATTGGTAGATGATTATGGACTCGACCATATGAAGGTATTGAATGTTAGTTTTATTCTTGTTGTTTTATGGGCCTACGAGTTCTTATTTATTTTGGATCTGCGAGTCCGTTGTAATTATTCTCGGCCTGCATGCTAACTAGTATAGGATACAGGATGCAGTTTGACTAATTGAAGAAACAAGAAGATGAGGAGACCACGGAGATGGAGTATTGTATGAGTCGATGCAATACCCCGTAGGAATTGATCAACTAGTTTTTCTTATGACTCGAAAAGATTAGATAGTAAAAATTCATAATTGTCCACATTATTATATTATGTTATATATATGTTTATTTGCCTGAAAAATGTAAAATAAAATATATATGATTGTTACGATGAGTATATATAAATCCATATATATATGTTTATTTGCATGTTAGATGTATAATTATTATGATGAGACGTTTATATGAAAAACAAGGTTTAGACCTTGATCGACCAATCTAATGGGATGGATCCCATAGGTTGTAAATATGTTTACATGAAAAGGTCGACATGGATGGAAACATTCATACATACAAGGCGAGGCTAATGGAAAATGGTTATAAGTAAAGACAAGGAGTTGACTTTGATGAAACCTTCTAGCCTATAGTCACACTTAGGTCCATTCGAATTTTGTTTGCAATAGATACATACCATGACTATGAGTTACTGTAAATGGATGTCAAGACTGTGATCCTTAAGAGGAACTTGCAAGAGGAAGTGTACATATCACAATTCAAAAATTTTGTATCCAAGTATGCTTACAAGGTATGCAAATTTGATTAATCATCTATGGATTGAAGCAAGTCTCTTGAAGCTGAAATATTCAGCTTGATGAGAAAGTCAAAAGATTTGATTTAAAAAATGAAGAAGATTCGTGTGTTTACAAGAAAATAGTGGTAGCATTGTCCTGTCCTCGGTATTACATGTAGATAACACATTAATAGAAAACAACATCCCTATATTTCAATCGTTGATAATATCTCCATGGTAGATATGGAAGAAGCAACTTGAACTATAGAGGCAGATTCAGAAGATTGCTTAACTCATCCCAATCTACCTAAATAAAATCTTGAGAAGATTTTGTACGAAAAAAATGAACTAAGAATTCATGAATACACTGATGCTACTTTTAGTCAGACTAGAATGATAGCAAATCTCAATCAAGATATGATTTACTCTTGATTATAATGCGGTTAGTTGGAAAGGCTCCAAACATGAAACAACCGTAGATTCAATAGCAAAAGCCTAATACATCATTGCTTCAGAAACGCAAAGAGTTGTGGTCTCGATCAAAAAATTCATTAATGAACTTGAATTAGTTCTAACTTTGTTGATCATATGCCTTTATATTGTGTTAGCAATATAGTCATTGCACAAGAGAAGGAATCAAGGTCTGATCAATGATCCAAACATGAGTTAAGGCGGTATTATCTCATCAGAGAGAGATAATATAAAGATATGATGTAAAGAAGGAATGAGTTCGCATAATGGATAATATTGCAGATCCACTAATAAAAAGTTGATTATAAAAATTAATTTTTTAACTGTTAGAGAGAAAAGTGAATTTCATTTGTGAGTGAAAGAAGTCAAAAATGATGGTTATAATAGTGAAATAACGGTCAAAATTGATTATTTGTGGTGAAAAATTGCTACCAAACATGCACTAGGTCTCGTACATAGTGTCGCATTCATGAAATATCCTATTTTCAAAGCATAAGACATCTTATTCATATGCACTCTTAGTTTTTGTTCAAAACACGTCCTTGGGGAGATTATTCTCATGATCTTTATCTCGGTAAGAAAATGAAAATGATAAATTTTGTAAGCGTCACAATAAAGACCATCATTTAAAGAAAAAATAACATTTAATAATTTATCATAAGCCTTTAGTAATTAAAGTTTAAAGAATGCTAAAATAATTAATCAAACGGTATATAATGTTTTTGATGTGTTTAACTAATGGTATTTTGGTCTGTTAGCTATATAAAATCGTAAAATTGCAAATACTTCTATTTTTTTCTTTCAAAATATGTTTTTATTTCAATAAGTAAAATACAGTGTGTAACACATAGTATGCAAATTGTCCTAAATGTGATGAATTTTGTAAATTTCTCTGTTTACAAACTATGATTATGAATTACACTTGGTCGTAAGCATTGTTACGAATTTCAATTAAGAAAAACCTTAATTTCAGGTTTCGACTAAGGGTATGTTTGATAAGTCAAAATTTTCTCTAGAAAATGGGAAATCAATTCCAACTTCCACTTTTGCATTGTTTGATAGCATTTTTTTTTTTTACCTAGAATTAATTTTCCACTTTTTTTGCTACCTCAGCTGAATTCCACATTTTCCTTGAATTGGAATTCCAATTCCAGTCCAGTCGCTGTTTTCATTTTTCATTTTTTTTTGTTCCAACAAATTCTAAGAATTATTGTAAAAAAAAATATTTCTCTTTAATTGACAATTTTCATATAAAACAAAGTCAAACGAATATCAAAAGATGGATGATTTTCTTGATTTTTTTTTGATTGGTAATGTAAACAAATTTCATCCCCAATACCAGTAAATTTTATCCTTTTAATTGACAATTTTCATATAAAACAAAGTCAAACGAACACCAAAAAACACTTATTTCAACATTTTTCACGTGAAAAATTATACCAATCAAACACAATAATTTACAATTCTCAGGAAAACAATTTCTATGCAATTCAATTCCTTGGAATTCATTTTTTTTCCATCCAAATTTCATCTTCGCAATCAAACAAATACTAAAGTTAATATAACTACAAGATGTAACTGTTCTTGCACTGTAAAATATTAAGAACCTATAGAGTTCAAATTAGTGTAAAATAAATTTAAGATGATGGACAATTTTCCAATTAGTAGTATTAAAATAGTAAATATTTTAATAAGTTTAATTTACTGAGGAAAATTTCGTTAATAAATAAAGCAATTAAAATATAGGTGTAAATGAAGGGAAAAAATTGTTTAGGAATAAAATAGCAATTATAATATTACAAAAAAAAATTAAAAAAAAATCTCAAGTTACCGACAAAATATTGAAGGAATATTAAAGAAAAACAAATTAATTTCAACTCAGTTATAATTTACTGTACACACATTTACTGGAATTAAGAAATAACTTTACAACTTTTCAAGCTTCATCTCTTGTGCGGCAATATAGTAAGAACATGTTTGGTTGAGACAAAACTCAATTATTTATTAGAAATATTGATGGAACCTGTGTGTGTTTGAAAAGTTGCAAATTCCATAAAATGTATTGTTAAAATTAATTGTTGACTTTAACTTAAATTTTAGTGCAATTTTTTTAGTTGAACCAAACATGTGCTAAGAATCCACGTAATAAAAAATAGATAAAAATTCCTACAATCTCACCAGTGACAAAACAGACACTTCAACGAGTTTTACGCATTCAGATTTAAGAAGTACAGTTTCTAGCAGACTTGAGAAAAATGCAAGGTTTAGTGGCATATTTGGCTGGAAAATCATAGTTTGGCAAGTTGCTCTATGTTAATGGGATAGACCATATTCTGGTTTCCATTGAAAGCATTCCTTCCAAACAAGATATTTACTGCTGCTGTTGGGTGAAATGCATCCCAGAATATGTACATGTTCCTGTCTAGACATGGCATTTGGAAGGGAAGACAAGTTATCTGCCCTCCGTTTCTCCCTATTCCACAGCACCCGCGATTTGCAACACCGAATCCTGCAACATAACGTTGAAGTTCAAGTAGTCGCTCTATTTTGTGAGGTGGATTAAATAACATGGGACGGTAACTTTTTACTTGGAAATTATACAATTCCATATAAGGATTATGCCACTTTACCAGAAGGATTTTGACAGATGCAATGATAGAAGTGTAGATGGCAGTAAATTATTGGATAAGAAAGATGTCTAGGTTTTAAACTGTACAATCATAGAACATCATGTAATATTATATCAATCTTTCTGTCAACACATCTAGTACTGTTGCATGATTGTTCATATAAATGGACATCGATGAGCGAGAACAAAATTCCTAGCAAATTCCAACAGAAAAATTGCAAGATTCATCTCCAACCTTATATATATTCGTGATTTTGTCCCAACCTACCAGTTTTGTAACTTCGTTGCTCCACCAAGAGTTAAATGGTTAACTTTTGTTGAAAATCTCAATAGAAATAAACTTTTGTTGAAAATCTCAATAGAAATAATATTTGAACTTACATTTAACTACACATTCTTCATAAATGATTAAAATAAGCCAAATTCTTAAAGACACGAACTCAAAGGAGACACACACACACACACACACAAAACATAATTTACGTACCATATGATCTAGCATTGGCCAGAAGATCTTGAAACATATTTTGAATGTCAATATAAGAAAATTTAGAGCCCGGCAGATTAGCGCTAAGCTGGTTGATCATGGCCTTTGTGTTAGTGTTGAATGGAAGAATAAGTTGATTCACTTCCTGTGAGCACATACCATCTGAACTTTGGGCAAGAATGCTAGGGATGCAACCCATCAATCCAAGCCCTGCAATCACAAATTTTCGAGCTCCAAGATTGTATAGTCTCTGCATTTTTTTCAAAACATAAGTCGAGAATTGAGATAATAAAAACAAGAGAAAAATTGAGCCATTGCTTCTCAAGTGATGGATCCAAGAATTCGAGTGAGGTAGGATAAAGTCAGACGAGTGCGCGTGGTCGCTTGATGGCCACCCAAAATATGGCAAAAATTTTGGCGAAACCAGCACGGGTGGCCGCCATGGCTCATCACGTGCTAGCTCCACCCCTACATCCCATGTTTCTAACATGTTCAATAGAAGGATTCCATCTATTTATCTGTTAAAAAATTAATTTTTTATTAAATATGATGACAACAAGTGGTGCGAATTTCAATGTTAGATTTCAAATAATACCGTGAGTTGTTGCGAGTACTGGTGAACCAAAAGATCTGCATATTGTTGAGCATTATACTGATTCTTAGTAGGATAATTAGGCATAAGGTAATTGTTGAGGTAGTCATTGCTTCCCATTCCAACAAAAAATATACACCTAGCAAGAGCCTGAGCCACATCCGGGGCACCAAGATTGTCTGTGATTTGATCGAGCGTGTTCTCGAAGTTTTGGATTTGCTGGTTGAATGGAATCCGACCAACCTGATGATGAATTTATTGTTTAGTCACATCGATTAAAGACAAAATAAATAAATAATATATAAGTATTTGAGCTATCCTTTTAACGAGGACTTCAAAAGTCCAACTGTCCAGCCTGCCCAAGCTGAATTGAACCAGGGTTTTGTGGTGAGTCGGGTCAACCTCAATCGTCTCCCCATCATCCAATGGTGGATTAAGAAGGATCCATATGTCGAATGTATTAATTATTTTAGTTTTTCATTCAAATTTTCCTTTTTTTAGTCTGTTCAAGCCACTGCACTGAGACCAATATAGCCAATGTTTTGTTTTGATTAAAATCTGATTTGAGTTTAAGTCAAAGTTAAACAATCAGTATTAACCACATCTTCCATAGATCCCACAATTTTTCAACCACACATTTCAAAAACTTCTATCACAATCTACTAAAAATCTAATTTTAATCCCCACCAAACATCCTTATAGTCTGCCTTCAAAGGCAAGACAATTGACAAACCAAAGTTGGCTCAATTAACTATTACTCTACTTCTTCACTGCTTTTATTCAAAAAAACTAACAGATATTATCTGTGGTTCTACAAGGTTATCTTGCAGCCGCAAAGGATATAAATGGTGGACAACATATATATATAAGATTACTTAGATTGACATGTAACCTTTCATTGCTAGATGTACTAAAAGATATAAACAAGATCCTTAATAATTACGACCAGACGATGTCGACTTTAGTTTACGATCTTCTTTTATGACATGTTTTACCAAGATCCGTCATTTCCCAGAATGGGAAAAACATAAAATTAAATGTACTCACAAAGTTTCTGCCTGTAATGTCAAGAATACCGGCAGCGGCAGAGGCATAATTAATTCCATATCTCATTTGATCACCAGATCTAGCTTCAGTGTATGCAGGAATTAAAGGAAGTCCAAGCAATTCAGCTGCATTCATGTATAACAAGACAACAGTTAGCCCCTTGTTTCCAAGTTCCCAACAAGTGAAAGCAAAAAAATGCATGACAAAAGGTATGTGATGGAAAAATAGGGATCGTCCATGTCGGTTGACCCCGATAAAAATGGGTTTTGGGGAGGGGGGAGGAGTTGGAAATTGAATTTGAAACTCAAACCTCGCACAACTCGTAACTTTCATATACAACTTCCTCTACACCAATATCATGAGAAATAATGCAAATTCGGGTTCTTGGATTTCGGAAGAAGAACATCTCAAATTTGATTCTTGGATTGTAAATATCAAACTCCTTTCTTGGTGATCGAGTTTCTGACCAAGAAATGGGTAAAAGAAGTGTAGAAAGCAAGCAAATCAAGGACAAGTGATTCAACTTCGTTTCGAGATTTCAAGTTTGGAATTCGGTCATAAGCATGCAAGTTTGTTTTGCAGCATGTTTAGTAAGCACTATTATATCATACTAAAAAATATTTAAGAAAAAAAAATTAACCCACCTTGCCAAACATACAATAATCTTGTTCATTATAATTTTTAATAATGTCCAATATGACATACCTAACATGAACTTATGGTATGTTCGAAGCTAGATCAGACCGTACTAGACCCAAAAAAGCAAATGCATCTTCCTCACCAGCTGCCCCACTACTCAACAGTAAAAAACTTAACACACAAAAGCCATAAAACCTAAAATACTCAGCCATATTGTAATTGTAACAGTGTGCGTGTGTGTGTGTGTGAGAGAGAGAGAGAGAGAGTTGAGAGTGTTTGATTGGTGGTAAGAACTAAGACTTGAGGAGGGTTTATATAGGGTGGCAGAAGATTTACTTGGTCATATCGTAACTAAGACCCCGTTTGTCTACCGTTATAGAAAAATTCTTTCTTTTCTTTTTTCCAAACTCATTTTCAACCATCTCTTTTCGCAATAAAATATTTTACATATAAACCCAATTTTTTTTTTTTTTTTACTTTTTAAACGCATATTCTGCTATAAAAAAAAAAAAAGAAAGGAAAACTCTTTTTAATGGAAAATGAGCAGAGGCTAAGTGTGTTTAATTAGGAAACGAGAAAATGGGACACGGCACTCCACGTGAAAACGCTGTTGTAGAGAGTGTTGAAAGGTGATAAGGGACAAGAATTGAGTAGGGTTTATGAAGGGTAGCTGATGATTTAATAGGTAGATGAAGACGGTGGTTAGGGGAGGAGTAAATGAGTCCAGCAGCTTGGTGATATGTTGCAGTAATTACACTACGTCCTGTTTGTCCCCAATTATTTAAAACTCATTTTCAACCACATATTTTATTGGATTCATGACTTTTATCTATTAATGTTCATTGACACGTTTCATCAACTTTTATCGAAATTCAATAAAATCTGATTTTATACCTGAAATTAGATATTAATTGATGAGCGCCGGTGTATATATAATATTGGACAAGCATTGTTTCGACTGGATATTGGCTTAGCTCCATTCTTTGAAAATTCATTTTTCTTCAAACTTATAATCAATAACACATTTCTTCCAATAAAATAATTTTATATGTAAACACAAATTTTTTTTCATTATTTTTAACTATACATTCTCCAAAAATCACTATTATAAAATCCATTTTCTCAAAAAAAAAATAATAATAAATAAATAAAATAAAATAAAATAAAAATTGAGACTCAAACAAACCTTTAATATTTTTGCTATCTTTTACGTTGATGGTGAATCGTTATTAATTTATGCATTTTGTTTATTTTGTGATTTCATCTTGGTTAATTGTTAAGAAATTCGCAATGCTCATGTTAAGTGGTTTCAAATTTGATTATTTTGGTAAAAATTTTATAATTTTGCTTTTCTTTTCTTTTCTTTTTTTAAATCATCACGAGCATGGGGGTATTTATTCCAAAAAAAAAAAAAAAGGAAAAGAAATACAAGGTTAATAGGGGATCTATAAGACTTAACCTCCGATCATTGCGAGATTCAATACCAAATAATAATAATAATAAAGAATAATAAAAAATAATAATAATTTAACCAAGATTTATATCTCATATGTTTCCTAATTATCATACTCTTTGATGTAATTTCACGTGTAATATTTTGTTAGTTCATAATCATCCTCTTCATAGTTATTAACACCGGACCGGATAGCTCATCCGTATTCAAGCTTTGGTGAATCTATGCCCTTGTCAATGTCACCCTAAATGTAGACCTGAACCCAATTTAAATAAGTGCGGGATCATCTACTCCTGAGCAATTTTATATCCCATGTTGCTCTTATCTTCATGAATATAGTCTTAATAATTCAAAAGGAGTTCCACGAAGAATGAACTCTAGGAAGGTAGAGTCGAAATTACTATTAGAAAATATGCTTAAATAGTCAAAATGATTGAACAAATTTAATTATTAAAGAAAAAATCTTTTTGGATTCTTTTTTTTCCCCCTTACGACATGATTAATAAAATTTGGATTTCCGATTTTGTTGATCGATTACTAGCCTTAGTATGACTAATTAATTACTTGCCAATTATCAACGGACTAGTCACCTCCGACTGATTTTTAACCTTGAAGATGTTGACTTGCTAGGACTCAAGTATTTTGTGCCCTCACAATAATTAACCTTGAAGATGTTGACTTCCATTGATAATCAATTAACAATAATTCCTCAAATTAGCATTAACATAACATGGATGGCTAGTACAATAATTCCTCTATATATATATATATATACACACCATACAAGTTTTGAATTCTCTCAAATATGTTCTAATTTTCTTTCTCTCCCGAAAGGGAAATTCTTAATTGTTCTTATTCTTAGATAGAATAATATCTCACAAAAATATGTTGTTTTAAAAACTACCGATGGATCATTCCGGTAGGTATGTTTTATAGTTTTAAGATATGGTGCTAATAGTTAATATTAGTTCCACATCTTGTAAGAACAATTTTTGTTCATAAATTTTTTATTTTTATTTTGTAAAAGTTTTATGAATTTTGTAAAGAGTTTTATGTTTCATGCTGAGTATATGATAATAGCATGTCTTAACTCCAAGTTAAAAGTTTAAACTGTTTTTAAAATAAGCCCTAAGTAACCTCTCAAAGCGTAAAGGCCCAGTGAAGAAGCTAGGAGACGCATTGAAGAAGGAAAGGGATCACTGTTTTAAGAATTCTTGTTAAGGGAGTGCCAGTGGTGTCCTTACAAGAATGGAGTTAGGCCCAAGTTCATATATCTCAGATGGCATGATTTTATTTAAAAAAAAAAAGGGATATTATTTTATCAAAAGAAAAAGACATTTAAATTAAAAAGAGTATTGAGTAGGATTTTTATAATTTATTCTAACAACCTCCTATAACAGCCTTAAAATCCTTACCTAAAGACTCAGTATGGGTAAGAGAATTATCTTTAAATACAGACTTAATTTTAGGATTAAGTTTTTTGTTAAAAGATAATGGTAGCATATTAATTAGTAAAGATTATTTGCAATTACAAAAATTTTCACTTTGTGCACCTACTTATACTAAGAATATTCCATCAGAGTATTATGAGAAGGATTTTAAGGCTGTTATAGGAGGTTGTTAGAATAAATTATAAAAATCCTACTCAGTACTCTTCTTAATTTAAATGTCTTTTTCTTTTGATAAAATAATATTCCTTTTTTTTTTTTAAATAAAATCATGCCATCTGAGATATATGAACTTGGGCCTAACTCCATTCTTGTAAGGACACCACTGGCACTCCCTTAACAAGAATTTTTAAAACAGTGATCCATTTCCCTCTTCTATGCGTCTCCTAGCCTCTTCACTGGGCCTTTACGCTTTTAGAGGTTACTCAGGGCTTATTTTAAAAACAGTTTAAACTTTTAACTTGGAGTTAAGACATGCTATTATCATATACTCAGCATGAAACATAAAACTCTTTACAAAATTCATAAAATTTTTACAAAATAAAAATAAAAAATTTATGAACAAAAATTGTTCATACAAGATCTGGAACTAATATTAACTATTAGCACCATATCTTAGAACTATAAAACATACCTACCG